AGGAGTTGATTGAGTTTGTCAGATAGTTTCAATTGTATAAACAATAGTAATTTCATTGGTCCTGCAAACCCAGTCAAAAGCAACCATAGTAACGTGTGAATGTTCACACATTTTGGTTTCATTTTCATCCAACAAACAGCTCAAACATTGTGTCACATGAAGGGACACATGAAGCTGCGCCTTGCAGCTTCTAACCTAGCAGCTTTACTAGAAACACTATCTGACAACACCTTTAATTTCAAACTGCATTGTGAGGATGTGACAGAATCTGACCCTGCTGCTGTCTGCATTTCGCTTCATCCAGTAAAGTCAGAAATCAGCTGCTGGGAGTCACTGGAGCAGCCTGGTGCACATCAAGGAAGAGGAGCTGCAGGCGGGTGAACTCAATTTAACTGGAATCAAACGGGATCGGTCCAGAATAAATTTAGTTTATGATGTTCCAACAAGCACAACTGTGGTAAATGTAACAATGTGCTTCCTATACATGCAGCTGTCCAGATGAGATTATACCTGATGATCAGGTGGTGTTCAGGAAAAAAGTCAAACTCAACTTTATGCAACTTTTTGAACCACAGTGACAGAAAATCACCCCTCTGCTCCACTACTACCGATGAAGTCTGAGATCTGAGATCATTCTGCATAACAGACTTCTGTCTAAGTTATCTCTTGTCAATATTTTCAGTGAATATAGCTAATAAAGCCTGAAAGCTGCTGTGAAGCATTTTCTCATGTTTCTATGACGTCACAGTTGTTGTGGACTCAACTTTAAAAAATATGACCTTGCACAACCTCTAGCATGGACCTGAATATTTATCTTACAAACTTTAAAATGGTGTGCTCACTGTTTTACAACCTGACATTCTACTACGGGGTAATATGAGATGTTCTGGTAAAGGATGCATAGGCTCAGTTTTTAAACTTGAACAAAAATCTTACTTGTTAAACTGATGCATCATACACACGTCTCTTGGTGTACTTTAATCAACAGCTCAGTACTAGTATTAGATCCAAAGTCCTGCTTCTGTTCAGACTCAACCCAGCCATGTTTCATTCAGCTCCATGATGTGGTTCTCTCCCATCATCTCGTTCCTATCTTGCTGCCATTGAGCAGAAGTGGACTCCACCAACACAGTCAAGGGTTTCTCCCATCTTGCCTGAGGCAGCTATAACTCTCTGAGCTCAGGTCATCCCCCCAACACTCTGCGAGGCTCTGGGACAGCACAGTTCAGTGAGGTGATGCTGGGCACTCTGCAAAGGTTCTGATGGCCACATAACAAGGCTTACCTGAAGAAGGTGACGAAGAACTGTACCAGGTCCATGATGCTGTTGTGCTGGGAGAAAGCAATCTATTGGAAACAAGACAAAAAGGAAATACAGTAAATAGACTTAAATAGTAAAATGTTATTTTACTTTCTAATCATGATGCTTTTCTATGTTTATTTCTAATTTACACATTCCCAGAAAGCTCAAAGTCACCTATTTACTAATGACTGACTTCACAACGTGAAGCAGTGGATTTACAGCATATTTAGCACGGTGAAACGTTTACAATTAACCTTAATAATCCAACACTTTTTTATCTTTGGTGAATCCTCTGAGACTCCTTGTAAAGGGAGGAGAGGAAAAGAAGGGGCAGAGCAGGCTTAAGAGGTTCTCCAGCATTTGTTCAGCAGGTAAAATGGCCTGACAGTGAAAAAGCTGCAGAAAAGCTGATTCTGGTCCACAGAGACCCTGCATTAATATGGGGAAAAAAGAGGCTGGCTGTGCATCCAGGCCTCCAATGCAGCAATTTCCATCATTCCACCTTAATAGTGTACGGAGGTATGATGAGCTCTCTCAAGGTAAAACTCAAACATTATAAACTGTCATTCAACAAAAAACAAACACGTTCAGTATGGTTAAAGGAAATTAACATCAAAGCATGGAACAAAGCAATTTTCAAATTTCTTGTTTTTTTCCTCTTCCAAACATTTTTCAGTGGAACAGTGACTCCAGCCAAAAGCTATCATTTCAATTTACAGCAGCTGCAGTCGTTAAACACAGCTATAATCAATAAGCTGTTTAGGCCACGCCCCTTTCTCTTCACCACTGCAGAGCCACAAACACGAAAACAAACTCAGACCTTTACCTGCATGTTTACCACAAGTACAGATAAAAACAAGGCAAAGTATGCTATTAATGCGTGTTATAAACATGACATGTTTTTGCTCAGGTTCAACGGAAAAGAGGATGCAGTGTATCTTTATTTAATTTTATTCAATTCAGAGCCACTCCACCTTCAATTGAAAGCATAGTAACACTCAGGGTAGGAAAACTTAAACTCTGGCTTCAGCCTATTCCTTTGTTGGTAAATTACAAGTTTCTGAAGTAGTATTTTGAATCTGGATAAATACTGGCATTTAAACATAGTCCAGTCAGAGGCTCTGTTTACAATAATCTAGACATTTAGAAAAACAGATTTTTCCTGGGTTTTCCTACAACCACAGAGTTTTGAGGAAAAAAAATACTCTAAATATTCTAAAAGAAAAAAAACTGAAAAAGAGAGAAAACGGAGACCCACTTTGCACATGGCCATTATCACTGTGTGCTGGAAAACCCAACAGTGGAGCCATTTTAAAGGGGCAGTGCTTTATTGAGCATTACTGAGTAGGAGCTGTATGGAGTGACAATAGTCTCAAAATATCTGTGTGTGTGTAAAAATATATGTGCGTGTGTAAAAGGATGTGTGCGTGTGTAAAAATATTTGTCCATGTATAATAATGGATTTGTAACTCGTGTAAGCATATTTGTGTGTAAGTTTTGATAATTGTATCTGTGAAACATGATTTGTAAGCCGTAAAAAGGAAATAAATCTTTTCCTACGCCTACAAATGTTGAACGGCTCCCAACAGCGAAAGTAGCATAGCTCACATAAACATTAGCTCCCGCTAACAGAAACATGTGAGGAGGCCTGTGTTACGTCCACCAAGGGCACAACATACTTGAGGACACGAGACAAGAATGACGGTTCTTAAACTCTCTTGAACTTTGGTTTTTTGGTTCAGCTGCTTCTGATTTTCTGTGAAGAAAAAAAGAGTTAAATGCCCTCAGTTTCCCGTGTCCCAAAAAAAAGAAAAACAAAACCCCAAAATTATTAACAGAAAGTTGGACCTGGTGAGCCGATCAAACAGAACAAAACGGTACAGCAGGGGGCCAACCCTATACAGGGCCGTCGAAGCCCCTACTAGAACCGGACTAAAGCAAAAAAGAACCTAATGCAAAAGAAAGATCGAAACTAGGACAACCGGCCCCACGAGGCCAAAATCACAATGAAAAAGCAAACAAACAAAGGCTAACAGAAATACCGCATAGCAGGCTGGAAAAGTTAGCTGCGGCCCACAGCGACAGGATGAGCGTGCACCGCGTCAAGACGCATCCCCGGTGGTGGTGGAGCGAGCGGAAGCGAGTGGAAGTGCGGAATCCCAACATGCTGAAACCCAGCTTATTTATAGGCGGACCCACAGCGTCACAAATTAACGTAATCAAATTACCAAAAAGAAATTATCCAAACTCCAAAATATTTTAACAAAAGGTCATTCAACTAAAGTCTATAAGAAAAGAAAAAATAGACAAAAATCATCATAATGTGCCCGAAGCACATAACAGCCTGACATAACATAATCTGAAATTATTAATAATTACTCGATGTCTCATTATAATCAGAGAGGAAAGCGTGCAGGAGTAACTTCTACTTACTTCTGACGACAGACCACTGGGATGAGCCGTCTTGCTTATTGCCTGCCTATTTTTCCAGCCAGTGAACCAGTGGTCGTTTTTCAGACAACCTAGTCTCCTGTACCGCTCAAAATGCACAATATGTCTATAAATAATTTTGGAATATTATAAGGAAGTGCTGAGATATTCTGTTTTCCACCAAACTAACGTATTTTCCACTTTGGCACAAGCACAGTGAGAAACGTTCAGAGGATAAAAACACTAGACACAGAGCAAAAATCAGATGACCCAGCTTTCTACTAGCATCTAAACACACCATCTACGCACAAATCTGGGAGCTCCGGAAGCGTGAAATGAATCTCAAAAATAGTTGTGCACTCGAACCTGGATCTGTACGTAACTGCAGTTTTGTGTGTGTGTATTTGGCGACTCGTACGTACTTTTTCAACATTTGTACGTGTGTCTTCCATGTCTTTTTGCGGCTTACAAGTCATGTTTCACAGATACAACTATCCAAACTTACACACAAAGATGCTTACATGAGTTACAAATCCATTATTACACATACACAAATCATTTTACACATGCACAGATATTTTTACACACACACAGATATTTTGAGACTATTTTCACTCCACAGAGCTGCACTTTCCTAGCATCCGCCTCACAGAGTAGCCCTCCTCATGATTCGCCCACTCTGCTCATTCAGACTAGCCAGAAGCAATTAGCAAACTAATACTTATCAGTGAAACACTAGTGAAATGTTAAAGAGTTAATAGAGGAGCCATGCTGTGATGAATTCCTGAAGATGGAGCTTCAGAAAGAGCAGGAGTTTTTAAAGAGACAGAGGCCCAATTTGAAGGTGTTAAATTACAATGTCCAACGTCTTTTAAGTCATATTTAATATATATGCAGCATTTAAAAAGCAAGTGGAGATAACATAATTACCTGATTGTGTTATAAAATTATACTATGAAAAAAAATAAAAACACACAGCCTTTTAGATTGAGGTAAATAAGTCAAAAGAAGAACTTTATTGAAAAGAAAAACCCAAAGAAAGAATAACATGCACATCAACCTAATGCCCCTTAAGTAACTAAAAGCTGTGAGGTTGGTTGGGGTTGTGTGTTGAAGAGCCGGTTAAAGCCATGGTAAGGTAAAACTTACCTTACCATGGGGTAAGTTACCATGGGGTAACTTGCCTTACCCCATGGTAAGGCAAGTTACCTTACCATAGGGTAAGGTAACTTGCCCCATGGTAAGTTACCTTACCATGGGGCATAAGGTAACTTATGCCCCATGGACAAGGGGCATAAGTTACCTAATGCGTTTCATTTCAGATCAGTAATTTATCACTGGAAATTACTTTAAAGACATTATAGAAGTTCAGTTGAGGCAAAAGCATGCACAGTTATTAAATGAAGAGTTCATTATTATAATCAGAGAAAGGCAGAATAAGAGCAGGGTGTGAAACACACACACAACTACATGCCTGAGAAAATGCCATAAGGACGAACAGTGACACAACAAAATCATAACAGATGGGAATTCTCAAACTTCCACATATAAACATGGAAGAACAATAGAGTGTAATTGTTTTGAGATCAGGGGTCAACTGACTGGTTCAGAGGAGAGTCTTTTTCCTCCTCCACTCCTTCCTTAAACTCGTGTTGTAATTACCACAGCAGAGAGAGGGGGGAGGGTGAGAAGGAAGGAGTGAGAGACAGAGGTAAAAGATGAGTACGACAGCAATGATTTAAAAGGACTCCAAGGACCCTGCATCTACTGCACAGTCATTATGGAAGACCTATGGTAGCCCTCTGGGGACAAGCTTAGGAGCTGTGACAGCAGCGGGCTGCCTTTTATTTCTCTAACCCTGAACTAAGACCTGCTTGTTAAAGCCCAGAATGAAAGAAAGTGCTTGGCTAATCAATAAAGAAAGGAAAGAAGAAGAGAACAACAAACAGATAAAAAGGAAGGAGGCAAAGAGCAACCACAGAGCAGGTGAAAGACACTAAAGCTAAGCAGAGACTAAGGATGGACCAAAGAGTTTATTCATCCATCTGAACCAGCTGTGTCCTCTATCCCATGTTCAGAGGATCTTACTGAACCTCCTGAGCAATTACCAGCCCAAATGCTGAGGCTTACTGGTTTACTCTGGGACAGAAGATCAGAACAAAAAGGGACTGGCTCGTTAAAGGACCACATTATTAACAAGGAAATAACCAAAACACTGCTGTTTCTAAACCTCTTTTTAATAAAACAATAAAATCTTACCAACCTATTTTTTAAATCCACCTTACAGGAGAGCACTGCAGGAATCTTACTAATACACTAGTAAATATGGCTTAAACAGCGTTTCCATTGATTTTAAAATCATGCAATTTGACATTTTGAAAATAAATCTTGATGGAAACACGCCAATTTCAAAAAACTCATTTTTTGAGAAAATATTTTTGCACTAACATGAGATGGTTCTTTCGTTCGTATCAATCGTATTAGTGTATTTTGCAAAAATGCAATGCAATTTCTTTTTGTCATTATACGAGTCACATGATCATCAATCGGATGTTACTACTTGCAGAACAGACAACTAATAATAATAATAATAATAATAATAATAATGTTTTAA